ATTAAAAATGTCAAACTCGATTTTCTCGAAAACCATAAGAGCTAGCGTTTTCAACTAAATACCATTTTAAAACCCTTGTCCAGAGTAACATTTCCTGAAAATTTTAAAAGATGAAAAATTCGAAATTTTTATTGTTCATATTTATTGAATTTTCCAATCGATAGAGCCGGTCTAAATTAGTCGAAAAAAAAACTAACATTATTTCAAAATGACAATTTCAAAGGAAGATTTTTTGGATCTAAATTTAAAAAAAAAAATCCTGACATGTTCATGAACAATTGCCCATATATTCATTGAAATTTGAGCAAACTAAAACATATCGTATATCATTGAAAAGAGCATTAAATTTTCTATAATTCCGTGCTAAATTGGATTTGGTAGCTCAAATACTTTTTGATCATTTTTTGAGTTTCAAAGTTGAATTTTACCACAATCACTGATCAATAAATTCTATGTATTCCCAAGAATTACAACTAGTTACTTATGATTGTTAAATATTTTCCCAGGTGATTTCCATTTTTTTGGAGATTCCTATATAATTCTCAATTGATTACCTGATTTCCTCTCAATATCCAATTGTTAAGCTTCTTAGGATATTGTGCAAAATGTGGCAACGATGATCCACATTTCCTCCTGTACCATATGGCATTATCGAATTTCGAATCCGACATTTTGTCTATGGGCCACAATGTCATCTAAGAGTCAAACCCAAATATCATAATCTTTTCCGGAAGTTAATAAAAATTCATCTAATTATGGAGTTTCCTCCCCTACTCAATTCAGAAAATAAAAAAAATTCCCGAAAAATTGAGGTTGAAAAACTAGGAACCTACACACGACGAAGGTGACCACACATAAAAACACTCGCTGTTAAAATTCACAAAATTATTAGATAAAGTAACCCTTACGCAATTTAACGTTTCAAAGTAGGCCTTGTAGTTTTTGGTAGTTAATTCAAAATGGCTAGGTTGTTTCCAAGACCTACTTGATTTGATAAATTTTTTGCGCACCAGTTATCTGTATTACTGACATCGATTAAAACTTGGGCTGGGATCACGACAAGTAGAATTCTACTTTCATGACGTCAGATTGCCTAGCAACAGTGATCATCGCCCGTAGTATACGCGATAAATAGGTCTCGGGTGACGTCATGAAAATATAATTTTACTTGTCATGAACCCAGCTCAGGATTGCTTCAATGTTCACTTAATTTTTGATAAGTAGTAATCTTATTGCTTGTCATAAATGATATTTGACATTTTGCCCAACACTGTTGCCGATGTTTATGTAATTACTGTTATGGAAAATTTGAAATTTGCAAGGCTTACTTGGGTTTTTTTTTTGTATAAATTCGAGCCTCAATGATTGACACAATATTTGTTATAAATTGTAGTTGGCAACATTGTTTGACAAAGGACAAAGTAGGCATGACAAAATTTTAAAATTTAAATATGGCGCCCTCTGTAATATTGACATTGCAATACATATATGTTTCCATAGCCTACTTGGTTTGATATAAGCGTTTTGATAAGGCGAGAATTTTCCTGAAAAATCAACTTTCAAGATTTTTGGGGATTTTTTTTTTAAATCTGGTGATTTTTTATTGCAATTTCTGGTGAATTTAATTTTTTTGACCTGGCAATAGTGTTTGTTACTTATATTTCTAGTTTGTGTGGACTCTTCTATTAAACTTTTTACCTTTTTTACAAATGTACCTGTGCATGAATTACTATCCCAGTTTTCCAGAACATCGTCCCACTCTGCTCCTTTCATCCTTTCATCAAGATTTTTATAGTTTATGCTTTTGTGTATGATATTTTTTTCTGAGTTTTCATTTTCAGTGCGGAGTTGAATATTGAGCAGCGTGGGGCTGTGATCTGTTATATTACACTCCAACACAAGTGGATACATTGTTTCCAGAATATTACTATTGCATTTAACAAAAATATGATCAATGCATGATTTGGATTCAGCAGTTACACGTGTAGGTTTGTTAATAGTACTCACAAAGCCGTGGCTTTGGAGCATAGTTAGATAATTGTTTGTTGTCTCAAGTTCGGTTGCCAGTAAGTCGATGTTTACGTCACCCGCTATAATTTTAATTCTATTGTCGTTTTTCATTGATCATTGATCTATCTAATATTACATTTAAGCTATTTATAAAATCAGCTTTTGAGATAGCAAACCCTCTGTAGGTAGTATAAACATCCACCAACTTATTCTCTTTTTTCATCTGAATCCTCACAACATTCAAATTATTTTCTTTAAGGATCTCATGTTGTACACACTGATCGTGCCTCACATAAACTACACACCCATCATTTCTGTTCAATGTACTATCATTAAAAAATACCCTATATCCCTCTATATTAAAGTCACTCAAATCATATACCCTATGTGTTTCAGTAAGTACTACAACATCAAAGTTTTTGTATATGCTTCTGATGTTCATTTGCATAATATTTATATCACTGTTTTTGAAAAAATGAATGTTTGAAATATTTTCACTTACATGTGTTTCACAGGTCTTATAGTCATCTAATAAAGCGTTGTGTTCCATGTATTCTATCCTTATTAGTTATTAAATTTGGTCCTCTGTATTTGTTGTAAGCGTTTATGTACTTCACACTGTTTTATGTCCCAGGCCACATGATCACAGTTTAGATTAAGTCCTAGTTTTTGGTTGGAAGACACACAGTTTATACATTTATTATAGACACTAGTACAGTTTTTCTCCTCATGCTCACCAGTACATTTTGGACTGGGGGCGAATTATAAAAATAACGGAGTTTTTTGAGAAATTAAGGGAATTACAAAATTACGAAAATTTGAAGAACTATAGGAAATACAAAAATTGAAATAGATAAGGAAAAATCACGGGAATTGCGAAAAAATTACGATAATTTTTGGAAAGTTACGGAATTTATGAAAAAGTTACGGGAATTACGAAAATTACGAGTTTTCCAAGAATTGCAATGACTAAAGAAGAATTATAAAAATAGGGAGAATTATCTGAGAAATTACGGAAATAATGAAAATTCACAAAAAAAAAAAAAAATTGAAAATTACGGGAATTACGAATTTTTGAAAGTAATAAAAATTTAGGGGGAATTATAAAATAAGTAACTGAACAGTTTGAGAAATTACAGAAATTAAAAAATTACGAAAATCTGAGAAACAACAGGAATTATTCAAAAATTACGCGAATTATAAAAAAATTACGATGAATTTTGAAAAGTTACGAAAAATTAGGGAACTTACGAAAATTACGAGTTTTGCGAAAATTGCAAAAATTAAGGAAAAATTATAAAAATAACAAAATTTATTTGAGAAATAACGGCTTTCAACAATTTTTTTTCGCAATTTCAAAGTCTAAACTCACTTTTTCGCAATTTCAGCAAATTTTTCCGCAAATTTTGTCTCACTTTTCCGTTATTCTTGCCTGATTTTTCAATAAGTATAATTTCACTTTCCCGCGATTTTCGCCTCACATTTCCGCAATTTCAACTTAATTTTTCCATAATCTTTATTTTTGTTTTTCGTATTTTTAACCTCATTTTTTCTCGATTATAACCCTGCTTTTCCGCCATTTTTACTCAACTTTTTCGCAATTCCAACATTTCCAACCTCATTTTTCTGTAATTTTTACTTCTATTTTTCGTAATTCCAACGTCACTTTCCTGCGATTTTGACACTCACTTTTTCGCAATTTTTAAAAAGTTACGGAAAATTGCAGGAATTACGAAAAATTACTGGAATTATAAAAATAAAGAGAATTACAAAAATTATAGGAATTACGAAAATGACGAATTTTTAAAATTATGTAAATTACAAAACTCGGGGGGAATTCAAAAATAACGAAGTTTTTTTAAAAAAAATAATTATAAAAAATTACGGGAATTACGAAAAAATTATGATTTTTGAAGTTATGGGAAAATTACGGGGGAATTACGAAAATTATGAGTTTTTCGAAAATGCAAAAACTAAGGGAAAATTGAGTTTTTTAAGCAAAATTCATTTTCTTACATTTTATTTTTTATCTAGAAAACTGGGCAAAAGGATAATTGTGAAAATTTTCCAGAAAAAAGAGGAAAGTGAGGATCTCATTAAAGCAAAATTTCAAAATTTTTCATTAAAAAATCACTCAGGAAAAATTGACTTATTTAGGGAAAATTCATCCTCTTACATTTTAATTTTTTTTTTGGAAAACTAGCAGAGGGAAAATTTTGAATATTTCCAATGAAAAATGACATCTGTGACAGTGATTTTTTTTGTTGATGGTGTTGCAATAAATAGAACAATAACATTATTTTGCTTATCAGCCTATGTCTGTAGATGGCTTGTTATATTGTTGTGAGGTTGTTGTTATGAACCGGCAACACCGCACTGTATTACAGATTTCTTTAAATATTTAAAAGATTGTCAAAATGTCAATTAGTTGTCATGTCGTCTTGTCAAGTAAGGTTGGCGCCAAGATACTCATCCTGTTGTAACCTACAATTTTGTACTCATGTTTTTAATAATTAATAAACGATAATTAATACAAGAAATAACAGTCGAATTATTACAGTAAAAATCCACCCCGTAGTACTCTGCTAACAGATGGGTATGCTGAATCGATCCCACGTAAAAATCTTAATAAGATATTTTCCTATTTGTTGCAAACTTTTTGGCGGTCACAAAAAACGAAGCAAACTACAAAAATACATATGAATACTATTTTTTGATATTTAAGTCTGCTGCTACTGAGGTTTTGTCTCGCCAGAATTCAAATTCGCATCACTGTGCGCCACATGCCACGATGAACTGCGCAAAATAACGTGTGTGTATGCCGGCCTAATGACAAATTTAGATGGGTGGGCGAGTTTTGTTTACACTTCTGATGCATCCCCATAATTTCCCCTCAAACAGCTCACCTCTTCTATATGTCATTCAACCAATGAAATTCGTTTTTGACTGGTTTATAATTTCTATAAAAACAAACCTTAAATTTCCTATAGGTTGTCAGACATGGTTGTATCCGTGACCACCTACGCGAAACCCTTTTAGAGATGGTAATGCGCGAACGACGCGGTGAAAAAGTCGACCGCATTTCGATCAAAAACGCCTGTCAAATGTTGATGGTACTAGGCATCAATTCCCGAGCCGTCTACGAAGAAGACTTCGAGCGACCCTTTTTGCAACAATCAGCCGAATTCTACAAAGTTGAAAGTCAAAAGTTTTTAGCCGAAAATAGCGCTTCCGTTTATATTAAAAAAGTCGAAGCAAGAATAAATGAAGAATCTGATAGGGCCAAACATTACCTAGACGAATCTACCGAATCTAGAATAGTAGAAGTAGTTGAACAAGAGCTAATTAAAAAACACATGAAAACAATTGTGGAAATGGAAAACTCTGGAGTAGTACATATGTTGAAACATCAAAAAACCGATGATCTTTCTTGTATGTATAAAATATTCGGTCGGGTTGTAGATGGTCTAAAAACAATGGCCGATTGCGTTAGTCATTATTTAAGAGAGCAAGGCAAAGCCTTGGTGCAAGAAGAAGAGCATCAACCAGGTACCAACGCCATCACTTTTGTCCAATCCCTCCTAGACCTCAAAGACGGGTTTGATCACTTCCTCAACAACTCCTTCAACAAAGACAAAATATTCAAGCAAATGATCGCTTCGGATTTCGAACACTTTTTAAACCTGAATCCCAAATCGCCCGAGTATCTGTCTTTGTTTATCGATGATAAATTGAAAAAGGGCGTCAAAGGAATGACGGAACAAGATATTGAAATGGTACTGGACAAGTCGATGGTACTGTTTAGGTTTTTGCAAGAAAAAGATGTTTTTGAGAGGTACTACAAACAACATCTGGCTAAACGGTTGTTGCTCAACAAGTCGGTCAGCGACGATTGGGAAAAGAATATGATTTCAAAATTGAAGGTAAGTAATATACATATTTTTCAAAAATAATATTTCAGTTATTATGTTGGTCATTTTGTATTGGGGTATATAAAAATGCGTTGTTGTAGTGTTAAGAAGAAACTTAGCTTAGTACATTGCGACCTATTTACGTCCTTTACTGTGCTATGAAAAAATAAAGGATAGGTATAATCGGTGAACTCTTGTTGCCTGGTACAATGAACCTAAATGTTAGTCTCCGTGTTGCCAAATTTTTCTTAAAATCTTTCTTGAAGGTATTAGCAAACTCTCTACAAAACAGGGCGCCCAACGTCAGTCCAAATTTTGGCGCCTAATACCAATTCTACCACTGTATAAAAATACAGAGTGATCAATATTTTATTATTCCCGGCTCTTGTAGGAAATCTTTCAGATACGGGATAATCGATATTTTATTATCCCTGGCTCTTAAAGTAGAAAATCTTCCATGAGAGCTGGTAATAGAAAACAATTTTAACTAGTGTAATTTGACTTAACACAAATAGACAAATAAGCCACTGTATAAAGATATAGAGTGATCAAAATTTTATTATTCCACGAAAGCTAGTAATCAGAAACAATTCGACCACTGTGAAAAGATACAGGGTGATCGATATTTCATTATCCCTGGTTCTTAAAGTAGAAAATCTTTCACGAGAGTTGGTAATTGAAAACAATTTTACCCACTGTAATTTGACTTAACACAAATAAACCACTGTATAAAGATACAGAGTGATCAAAATTTCATTATTCCAGGATCCTGTGGGAGATCTTCCACGAAAACTAGTAATCGCAAACAATTCCACCACCGTGTAAAGATACAGGGTGATCGATATTTCATTATCTCTGGCTCTTAAAGTAGAAAATCTTTCACGAGAGTTGGTAATAGAGAACAATTTTACCCACTGTAATTTGACTTAACACAAATAAGCCACTGTATAAAGATACAGAGTGATCAAAATTTCATTATTCCGGGATCCTGTGGGAGATCTTCCACGAAAACTAGTAATCGCAAACAATTCCACCACTGTGTAAAGATACAGGGTGATGGATATTTCATTATCCCTGGCTCTTAAAGTAGAAAATCTTTCACAAGAGTTGGTAATTGAAAACAATTTTACCCACTGTAATTTGACTTAACACAAATAAACCACTGTATAAAGATACAGAGTGATCAAAATTTCATTATTCCAGGATCCTGTGGGAGATCTTCCACGAAAACTAGTAATCGCAAACAATTCCACCACCGTGTAAAGATACAGGGTGATCGATATTTCATTATCTCTGGCTCTTAAAGTAGAAAATTTTTCACGAGAGCCGGTAATAGAGAACAATTTTACCCACTGTAATTTGACTTAACACAAATAAGCCACTGTATAAAGATACAGAGTGATCAAAATTTCATTATTCCAGGATCCTGTGGGAGATCTTCCACGAAAACTAGTAATCGCAAACAATTCCACCACCGTGTAAAGATACAGGGTGATCGATATTTCATTATCTCTGGCTCTTAAAGTAGAAAATCTTTCACGAGAGTTGGTAATAGAGAACAATTTTACCCACTGTAATTTGACTTAACACAAATAAGCCACTGTATAAAGATACAGAGTGATCAAAATTTCATTATTCCGGGATCCTGTGGGAGATCTTCCACGAAAACTAGTAATCGCAAACAATTCCACCACTGTGTAAAGATACAGGGTGATGGATATTTCATTATCCCTGGCTCTTAAAGTAGAAAATCTTTCACAAGAGTTGGTAATTGAAAACAATTTTACCCACTGTAATTTGACTTAACACAAATAAACCACTGTATAAAGATACAGAGTGATCAAAATTTCATTATTCCAGGATCCTGTGGGAGATCTTCCACGAAAACTAGTAATCGCAAACAATTCCACCACTGTGTAAAGATACAGGGTGATGGATATTTCATTATCCCTGGCTCTTAAAGTAGAAAATCTTTCACAAGAGTTGGTAATTGAAAACAATTTTACCCACTGTAATTTGACTTAACACAAATAAACCACTGTATAAAGATACAGAGTGATCAAAATTTCATTATTCCAGGATCCTGTGGGAGATCTTCCACGAAAACTAGTAATCGCAAACAATTCCACCACCGTGTAAAGATACAGGGTGATCGATATTTCATTATCTCTGGCTCTTAAAGTAGAAAATCTTTCACGAGAGTTGGTAATAGAGAACAATTTTACCCACTGTAATTTGACTTAACACAAATAAGCCACTGTATAAAGATACAGAGTGATCAAAATTTCATTATTCCGGGATCCTGTGGGAGATCTTCCACGAAAACTAGTAATCGCAAACAATTCCACCACTGTGTAAAGATACAGGGTGATGGATATTTCATTATCCCTGGCTCTTAAAGTAGAAAATCTTTCACAAGAGTTGGTAATTGAAAACAATTTTACCCACTGTAATTTGACTTAACACAAATAAACCACTGTATAAAGATACAGAGTGATCAAAATTTCATTATTCCAGGATCCTGTGGGAGATCTTCCACGAAAACTAGTAATCGCAAACAATTCCACCACCGTGTAAAGATACAGGGTGATCGATATTTCATTATCTCTGGCTCTTAAAGTAGAAAATTTTTCACGAGAGCCGGTAATAGAGAACAATTTTACCCACTGTAATTTGACTTAACACAAATAAGCCACTGTATAAAGATACAGAGTGATCAAAATTTCATTATTCCAGGATCCTGTGGGAGATCTTCCACGAAAACTAGTAATCGCAAACAATTCCACCACCGTGTAAAGATACAGGGTGATCGATATTTCATTATCCCTGGTTCTTAAAGTAGAAAATCTTTCACGAGAGTTGGTAATTGAAAACAATTTTACCCACTGTAATTTGACTTAACACAAATAAGCCACTGTATAAAGATACAGAGTGATTAAAATTTTATAATTCCTGGCTCCTGTAAGAAATCTTCCACGAAAACTAGTACAAATTGGAAACAATTCCACCACTGTGTGAAGATACAGGGTTATCGATATTTCATTATCCCTGGCTCTTAAAGTAGAAAATCTTTCACGAAAGCCGGTAATAGAGAACAATTTTACCCACTGTAATTTGACTTAACACAAATAAGCCACTGTATAAAGATACAGAGTGATTAAAATTTTATTATTACCGGCTCCTGTAAGAAATCTTTCGCGAAAACTAGTAATCGAAAACAATTCCATCACTGTGTAAAGATACAGGGTGATCAATATTTTATTATTCCTGGCGTTTGAGGCCAGTTTTTCAATATTACCTTAAAGTTAAGACTAACCTAAGGTACCCTAAAGGTTAGGGTAAACCTAAATAAGTTCATTTAGGTGGCTTAGGTTTAGTTTTAAGGGAACTTTGATATACGGTGAACGGTAACCTTGGTAACATGCTTCACCCACTTTTTTGGTTCCCGCCATTTATTCAAAATTGCAGATTTGACTGCCGCACCCTGTATTAAAGATGACTCAACTTTATTCTGAACCTTAAGGTGACATTGCAACACTGGCTTTTAATGTAGTCAATCTTTCACGAAAGCCGGAAATAGACAACAATTTTACCCACTGTAATTTGACTCAACTAATTCCGATTCTATTGGTTTGCGGATAACTGGCCGACCAATAGGATTGTAGATTGTTTGTTTATCCATCAGTGCATATTACCTAGTAGTTTATCAGAAGGTGAATAAACCGAGTGTCACTGGGATAAATTTGTATTCACTGCGACTTGAACGTAGTGCAATGTCAACTTGGAATAAGATTGAGGGCTGGTTTATTCATCTGTCAGGTATGTAATCTGACGTATAAAAGCGCAATTTATCCATCGACCAATAGAATTATCAAACGTAAAAAAGAAAACAAATCTTATAGGGAAGTCTATTGGTAGAACAAATGCAGAACAAATGTATTTTCATCTCTTTCTTATACAAGCTGGTGAAAAAAGACGCAAATACACTCAGTGCGCACTAACCCTTCCAATAGAATTCGCTATTTAATTAGTTTAACTCTGACTCTACAGCAAATTATACCATTAAGAACTAGTTTATTCACCTTCTGATTATGAAATTATAGTCATTAAAATGACGTTTTTGACAGGCTTAGTTTCTGTCAAAAAAAATCCAACCGCTAGTAATTTTGATACACTTGATTGACACATTATTATTGCTAGTAGGATACAGTGTTGCCAACTGAAAATTTTCTTCAAGCTAGAGAAAAGTCAAAAAGCGAAGATTAAAATTACTGTCAACAATTTGAAGTATGTCCTAGTTTTGCTGTTGGGATTGGTGATAAGTTTTCAAGTCGAATACATTTGCATTTCAGTATGTGAAAGACATGAAATATTTTACCAGTTTTTTTTTACACGTTACCAACTACACCAGATTTTCAAAATGTCAATTTCGATTTGACATCAATCGAGTGGTATTTTTTTGACAATTGACAGATAAACAATGCATTGAACTGTCAAAAAAATAGGTATTAAGTAATCTCATTGGTCAGACAATTATCCGCCAAACAATAGGATTAGATATTGGTGAATTTTTCTTGCAGATAGTTATTAACAAGTGTATTTGAAGATGAATAAACTGGGCCTTATTGGGATAGATTTCTTATCCTCTTAAGCTGATGCTTTAGCCAATGAGAGGGCGTTTTCATTTGCGATTTTCACTTAATCTTAAAAAATATGATAATTTGTCATGTTCCTGGCACATGAAAGTAGCCTATTGCCAACTGCTATTTAGATATGACATAAAATTTACTAAATTGCCTATAAGAATGTTTGTATTCTGTTGACAACTTGATTTTCTATTGGCAGCATTTGTGTTTTAAACTTGGCAACAGTGTTTTTTTTGCCAACATTCAATTATTTAAACCAAAAAAAATTTCAGACGGAATGCGGTTGCCAGTTCACATCAAAGCTGGAAGGCATGTTCAAAGACATGACAATTTCGAACGGCCTTATGGAAGAATTCAAAGAGCACGTCACTAAATCCGAGGCCAATCTAGGAGGAGTCGACCTTTTCATGCGAGTTCTAACAACGGGCTTTTGGCCGACACAAAGTGCCACGCCCAAATGTCACATACCAGCCGCGCCACTGTCAGCCTTTGAATGTTTCAGACGGTACGTATAGTAATCAATTTTATTTACAACTTAGTACTGATACGCTGTTGTGTAGATTCTATTTGGCCAAACATAGTGGCCGTCAGTTGACGTTACAACCTCAACTTGGCAACGCCGATCTGAACGCCGTCTTTCACGGGCCGCGCAAAGAAGAGGCCGAAGGCGCGTGCTCGTCCTCAACGAGTTTAGGCGGTAATGGCCGACCCGGACCCCGAAAACACATCATTCAAGTGTCCACCTATCAAATGGTCGTACTGATGTTGTTCAACAATCACGACAAGTTGTCATATGAAGAGATTCTTAATGAATCTGACATCCCAGAAAGGTAACAATTATTGTAGTAGGCCTTGGATTGTTAACATTAAGTGGCGTTTTCAGAGATCTCATCCGAGCCCTACAATCCTTGGCGATGGGCAAAGCGACCCAGCGCATCCTAATCAAAACCCCTAAGACAAAGGAAATTGAGTCATCGCACGAATTCCAAGTCAACGATTCCTTTACCTCGAAACTTCACCGGGTGAAAATTCAAACGGTTGCCGCCAAAGGCGAAAGCGAACCAGAACGACGAGAAACTAGAAGCAAAGTAAATTAACAATAATTGTGTGCTTTACACAAACATAACCTCAATTAATTTTTAGGTTGACGAAGATCGTAAACACGAAATCGAAGCGGCGATAGTGCGGATAATGAAATCGAGAAAACGTATGGCGCATAATATTTTGGTGGCCGAAGTGACGGAACAGTTGCGCAGTCGTTTCCTGCCCTCTCCGGTGATAATCAAGAAGCGAATCGAAGGACTCATAGAACGCGAGTATTTGGCGCGGACGCCCGAAGACCGGAAAATTTACACCTACGTCGCTTGAGGTGACTGAAAAAAACCGGACATTAATTGACGTTTTGTGCAATTACGGCGTGCGGTTATAGTTTTTAATTGTATTTGTAAGAAAAGTATAACTAGAGGGGAGGACGGAGATTTAGTGATTTGTACAAAAATGGAAAAACAAAAAAAAAAAAAGTAAACGTTGATTTCTCTTTTGATTCATTTTGATTCGAATGAATTTTCCCCGCGGGTGGAATGATGATTTACAGGTTTTTTTACATTGACTGTCTCTTTGAAAAAAATACAACTAAATAAATCAAAATATTATTTAATTTCAGTTTTTGAGTTTTTATGCAAACAATGGCAACAATGGAAAAAATTTTGAAGAAACTATTAATTGTGGTTAATAAATTGCTTCTTGGCGAAACAATTTTGTTTTTCTTCTTTTTCCTAGTGAAAAGACTCAGGAATGTCCTAACTTCTTTGTCTATTGCCTACTAGTCTATATAGCAGCCTCACTATTAGGGCCAAATTATGATGGAATGACTGGTAATTGGTAAACGTTTGGTTGTTACTTAGCAGGTACTGTCTATGCACTAAGGGCCAAATTATGGACCAACTGGTAAGTGTCTAGTTGGTACCTAGAAGGTACTTTCTATTATCTACCTGCTAGGTAACTACCAGTCAGTCCATAATTTGGCCCTAAAGAATAGAAAGTACCTGCTAGGTAACAACCAGGCACTTACTAGTTGGTACATAATTTGGCCCTTAGACTCATAGAATAATTAGACTGCCTATCTAAGATGCTGTCAAATTTAAATCAAAATGTTCGCAAAGAGGCACATAAGATACCACACAAACAATTCTTGCTATCTCAATTTACAAAAGTCAAAATAGTCACTAAAAGTATGTACTTACAATTGGTCCATAAGTATAACTCCACTGAATTTAATTACGCTTTCCAACATTGGTCAAATTTTGAAATGATCTAAGACCAGAGACTGGGAAAACAACTCTAAGTAAAATTCAATGAGGTAGTATACAAGTGATTTTCAACTACTGTGTAGTGTATATAGTGTGATATACTGGACATATCGTACTATTTACTGTATAATCAGTTGCTTTGTAAAAACCGCAATGCACTGGATTATTTATTTTTTTTCCCCTTTTAGTCCCGCCCCTGTGTGAAAATGAAAGTTCGTAATAAATACGTCACTGACATTGACCATCAAGAACGAAACGTCAAACATCACACATGACATCACACGTCATTGAAGTGTCGAAGTCAGCTGTCGTTTTGAGGCATTTTGAACTTGTCAGCGAATACTATTGGTCGCCGCTGTGGCGCTAAATTTAAATTACAGTTTGACTAATTCTATAGACACTATGCTGGAAAATAATTTAGTATCCCACTATACCATCACCATTTAGCCTATAGAATATTATCAAGCAGTATTTTTACTGATTTTCATACATAGTATAATACCTTATTGTTTATTAGGTTTTTATCAGTAGAGACACCTGCGATATTGTTTATCAGTTATGCAATGGCAATGGGGTAGTATACTATGTATAAAAATCAGTGAAAAAACTGCTCGACATTATTCTATAGGCTAAATGGTGATGGTATAGTGGGATACTAAATTCTTTTCCAGCATAGTGTCTATAGAATTAGTCAGAGAAAAACAAACTGTAATTTGAATTTAGCGCCACAACGGCGACCAATAGTATTCATGCCGCTGACCATCTGGCAACACTGCTCAAAATGACAGCTGACTTCAACAGTTCAACGACGTGTGGTGTCGTGTGAATCGTGTGATATGTGACGTCATAGACTTGTTTACGTTGTTTGATGTAGTAAATTTGATGTTTCGTTCTTGACGGTCAATGTCAGTGCAAATTGTGCGTTCTCAAAACCGTGATGTGTTGCCAGATTGGAAAAACTAACTACGTCACGAACTTTTATTTTCACGTAGGGGCGGGGCTAAGGGGAAATTTTAAAAATAAATTTCCAGGCTATTGCGGTTTTTACAAAGCAACTGATTACACTAAATAGTACAATATGTCGAGTATATCACTAGGTAGTAGTTAAAAATCACTTGTATACTACCCCATTAATTTCACAAGAATGTGTTAGTTTCCGGCTGGCAAGGATATCGCTAATTTTTATGATTTTTTAATTGAAATCTATCGATTATTAATATGGCCTCTGAGAATTTATCTTTTGGATCGTTGTCTTTTATTGGAATGTCGCACGTGTGTCTTTTAATTAAGACATTTAGATTCTGTTTTCGGTAGTTTGACTTCCGGTCGCTTATAGGTATGTTTTCGCTTGTGCGTCTGGCGGTTGCGTCGAGCAGCAGCCGTCGGCGGTAACCTACTGACACAATGCGTTTTATCAGAACCATTTTCGCTTGTGCGTCTTAGCGGTACCGCCAGAAATCCGACCGCAAGCGTCTGCGTCTCGACTGAGCCGTGGCCCGTGTGTCAGTCTGGCGACAGCCGCTCTGCGGTTGAGAGTGTTTTTCTTATAGTTTAGTGCCAAAAATATAGAATTAGACCTCAGATTAATTAGACTATCCAAAACACGAGACACAAATATGGCCGACAAGAGGCACACAAACCATAACGTCATTACGTTATGTCATTAATGATCATAATCAAATACTCATTTTCTATTGTGTGCGTCTCAATTTTTCGCCGTTTCTACCCAATTACTGAATCCCTATTGTTTGGGCAAGATTGCTCTACTTACATTTCACTTTGGACACCCAGGACCTACCCTTAAAATGTGAAAATATTTATTTATTTCAATTCCACCGTACAGTGTTGTGTTTTGATTTGTATTGTTTTTTTTCATTTAGAATTTGAAAAAATTTAAGAATGTGCCGATCTCCACGATTTCCACATTTAATACGTTGTAGGCATGTTTTTCGTGTTTTTGAGAACTATTTATTACTATTTACATACACTATTCAAATACACTATTTCTAATATTAATGGAAATAACAGTTTTAAGTATCAGAACGCAAATAATTCACAATGAGCCTTATTTTAAGCTAATACATTATTTGATGACAAATTTGATGACACATAAACAAAGGGTTTGTGTGCCTCTTGGCGGCCATTTTAATTCAAGTTTGACAGCATTTTGGATAGTTCAATACAAATTTAAACTGTGCAAAGTTTAGTCTGAAGAAAGCCCTAAACTTAGTCTCATCCGAATTTAAGTGGTTTTCAATTGAAATATTATGAAATCGCTCTGTATGTCGTCTTTTGGAAAGATCGTGAGTTTTTGTATGTTTTTTTGTCAAAACCCTGAGGCAGGGCCGCAACTAGGGGGTGGCGAACTAGGCGCCCGCCTAGGGCGCCGGAGTATCGGGGCGCCGAAGGTGCCTAATTTAATCCATCCATATTTTACAATTCAAAAAAATGCAACGGATTTACGCGTCATTTGTCGTAGCACGGAAATTTATTTTATTTTGAACCATATATGTAATTTTCACATTCCTTACTGGTTTGAAGGTTCGAAAATGTCACTTTACTTTTGTTCACTTTAAAGCAGGCCGAAAGTGACTGTTCTCCTGTCACTTTCGGCCTGGAAAACTCACTTTCGGCCCTGATAAATTGTTCATTCAACCTACATAAACACGTATCCAGGTGCAATGTTCAAAATAAAATAGTATACATAATTCGGTGGAAAGTTTTCACATTATTGTCTCGAGAATTGGGTGTAGTATGTCTCGACAATAATGAAACACTTTCCACCTCCGCATGTAATATTATTGCTTGTGTTACATCACATCTCTCTTTGTCAACCATCAAAAATTCGAATATCGATAGTAATCATATGAATTATGTCAAACACAGTGCGCGTGCAAAAGGCAGCAGCAAATTGCAATGTCTGTGATAAATTCAAGTATTAGTTGGGGAGCTGGCGTCAAAAACATGCAAGAGTTTTCGCAAGACGGATATTTTCAAAATAGGTCGTACTTTAGTGCTAGAATGCTAGTGTACAGTCAGCACTCACAGTTCCGGGACAGCTGGCTCTGGGACGCGGGCAAAGTTGTAATTTTAAGAAGCATCTAAACTGTTTTCTCAAAGCTCAAAATTTATAGAAATTTTGCACATTATCTGTTTGAAGGTCACAGATAACGTATGTAAATCGTCAGACGTCTAGTTCGTTGCAAAAAGGGGGTCAGACGTCCTCAAAGTTTTTATTTTATGGCATTTTCTTCGGTGTCCTGTCAAAATATATTTTTGCAGGCATTTGACAAATATATTTGAAGAAAATGCCATAAAATAAAAACTTTGAGGACGTCTGACCCCCTTTTTGCAACGAACTAGACGTCTGACGATTTACATACGTTATCTGTGACCTTCAAACAGATAATGTGCAAAATTTCTATAAATTTTGAGCTTTGAGGAAACAGTTTAGATGCTTCTTAAAATTACAACTTTGCCCGCGTCCCAGAGCCAGCTGTCCCGGAACTGTGAGTGCTGACTGTACACTAGCATTCTAGCACTAAAGTACGACCTATTTTGAAAATATCCGCCTTGCGAAAACTCTTGCATGTTTTTGGCGCCACCTCCTGGACTATATTGATGACATAGCCAGAGATTAGCTTCGAGTCGAACTTTGATCCGACCAAACTGAGCAAGAGCACTGTGGGCGACATGGGCGCCCTCTGCATGCTGCATGCATTATCTCTTTTGACTTTTTTCTATTTAGCCGTTTACGAAAACTATAATCGGGTTAACCCGATCAGCAGCTGAATGTTTTCTATCTTTCCCTAATAAATACGATTGAAAAAAGGCAATAGCCGCTTTCCAGTATGCACATTGGCGCGCTCTGGCGCGCTCCAGAGCACCTCGGGGGCGCCACGCACTAGATTTGTACCGTTCCAGTATCATGGCGTAAGACGCCTGTCTTAATGTCAAATATGTCAAATTTTAAAAATAATTATTTGTTTGTTTGTACAGTTTGTTTTTTTATTTATCAAAAATGAAAGAGAATCAAAACTATATATTTTAAAATGTTCAATCATGAGATATAACAAGAAATAAATAGATAAATAGCTACCCACAGATGTGACAGCTGATAGGTTGACGCGTACGTACAGCTCGGGGGTTCAACGCCCCGAGTAGCTCCGGGCGTCACACTCCCATACTGTAAAGCGGCTAATATACTTCTCCTGGCGGTCGGGTTAGCCCGATCATAGTTTCCGTAAACAGCTTTTACTTTTACAATAGCCTCGTTTGCGGTAAGGATTCTGAACTGGTTCGAAACTATTTCGCATGCGCAGTTCAAGTAATGGCGTTCGCAGATCACAAAATTCCGAACTTTTAGTTACGGTTCTGGATTCGCGGATCAACCAGAATCAGTTCGGAACCGTTTCTGAACCAGTTCTGTTCTAGCGGTCTTAGGAT